CAGCTGAGGACCATCCGTTCCCTCAGGTCCCAATCCTGGGTCCCAGGGATGCCACGGGCTGGACTTCCCTGCCCAAGTCTAGCTCTCCAGTCCCCTGGACTCCAGTTACTAGAACCAGGCCAGTGTTAGGTTCCCAACACCAGTACACCTCCTGAGGACTGGTAGTGGCTCTGCCCATCACCAGGGATCACCTGCCTACACTTTCTACTGGTACAGGACATCTCTCTGATATCCAAGTGAAGCCCAGTCTCCTTTTGGAAATCCCTCCCATTAACTGCTTCCAGAAACATCACAGAACCTGCCACATTCTCTGTATCCCAGCTCTCATCCATGAGCTGATCCTCTGCTCCCTTGTCCACCTCAGACCACTCATCAGGTCTGACGTGATCTTGGAGGCAAGACCTGTGCTATAGTGAGAGGCTCCCTGGCGACGACGCTGGATTCCATTATATTGACCTAATATTTCTGAACACAGCACGTAAGCTCAGTGCTAAGCCATATAGAGATGGAGAAGATATGTCCCACCCTTCCCGGTAAGGGCCATTGAACACATCTTCACAGGACCATAGTTCAAGGATAAAGGTTGGGGCTTGAAGGTGAAAAGACACCATCTCTTTGGAGATGGGAGAAGGAGGAGAGTGAGGATGAATCCACTGGCCCAGCCACCTCTCGGGAGAAGAGACACAAATGGGGATGAGGCCTTCAGCAGAGTGGAGAAGGTTTGGAACAGAACTCGAGAGGGCCTCAAGGAGGACAGCTGGAAGGAAGATCCAAACATGGCCAAGGAGCAGCTGAGGCCCAGCTGATGTCAGATATGTGATCCTATGAATGTGGAAGGTTTGTCACTTCTTTTTCCAAAGCAGCACTCAGCAGTTTAGAGCAAGGTCGGGGGAAGGGAGGGCAGAGCTAAGGATTGGCCTACAGAGGCCCACTGCTGGCACACAAATCTAGGATGTTTGTATTTTTTATTTTTATTTTTATTTTTATTTATTTATTTTAATTTTTTATTTATTTATGATAGTCACACAGAGAGAGAGAGAAAGAGACAGAGACATAGGCAGAGGGAGAAGCAGGCTCCATGCACTGGGAGCCCGACGTGGGACTCGATCCCGGGTCTCCAGGATCGCACCCTGGGCCAAAGGAAGGCGCTAAACCGCTGCGCCACCCAGGGATCCCTAGGATGTTTTTATACACATGACTGAGTGGACAGGAATCCAGGTGAGGCCAGAACAGTGGAGCTGGGGGCAGGCTGCAGAATCAGTGACCAAGAAGACGAGGCCACCAAGGAGGATTGGAGGGCATGAAGGAGGCATAGGGAGAGCATCATGAGGGAGGAAGTTCATCCCCTGGCCTGGGGAAGAGACTCCACACCCCATTTGTGTCCTCTTTCCTTCCTCCTCCCACTCACCGTCGCTTCCACAGATATTACGTGTTATCTGCCTCAGATGTGCTAATCACAGGACATGGCATGGACAGGGGCCCTTGCCTGGTAGTCCAAGGCCGAGGGCGGGAGAGAGACACCTCAAACCCCCACAGCCAGTGGAGCAAGCGTCCCTTGGGGTGGCACAGACAGGATGCCGTGGGAGCACCCAAACACGGAACCCAGGCTGGGGCCTTGCAGAGGCTTTCTAAGAGGAAGTGATGTCTGAGCTGGGAGCTCAAAGATAAGAGAAATTTTGGCAGACAGAAGGGCTGAGAGAGGGGAGCCCGGCAGACAGACCCCCCTGCATCCTCCCCACCCACCTGGCAGAAGCGGTTTTCATGTCCATCTCTCTGCTAGAGCTGCTTTCAGTTACCACAGTTCATCTCACCAAATCTTGTCTCTGCAGGGCCCACAGAGTCCCCGAACTTTCCCTAACTTGCTGCTGTCACCTCTTGCTTGTCTCCCTCCTTGCTGACCTTCCTTTTTGCTTTCCTCCTCATTCCCTCCCTTGCCCCCAAAATGTAGGTATAAGGGTGCTCCAGAAGGCTCTGACCACACGTCCTGCTCTCCAGTGTCTCTCTCTCTCCTTCCACAATCCTGTCAACATCCATATTTTCATCCCCGGCCTTGGTCTCCCTCAAGGGCCAGCACCCTGTTTTCAACACCCACGGACATCTCATGGTCTTAACCATGACCCTTCAAAACTTGCTCTTGATTTCACACCTCATGACCCTTTCCTTTCCTAGATGAGCTGTGTAGGGTCTCCTTAATTGTCACCTTTGAGGCCATCTTGTTCTCCCCCACCACACCCACAGTCACCTGGCCTGTACATGGCTCTCTAGCTGCCGTGTTCCTGTGCTGTGCACACAGCCAGGTGGTATTTCCTGCTTTGCTCCTGGATAGCTCTGAGCATGCCTGCCTCTGGCAAAGAGCTCCTGAGTGACCGCCCCCCCTGCCTCCCCATTGTCTGTGAGATGAAGCTCCTTAGACAACCAGGTCAGAGTAAATCCCTCCCAGCCTGAGTCTGGCCTCAGAGCATCTCCTTCTATTGTTTCTCATGGCCTTTGCTTCAGACAAAGTGCCTTATGGACACCATGTTGCCACTTCCTTGCTAGCTCACGTGGGCCTCCAGCTCAATGCCTTGCCTCCAAGTACCCACTGTCCAGATCCTCAGCAAAGTTCATCTCAAACATGTCTGGAGAAACCTCCTCTGGTTTTTTTCCTGTCAGAGGAAACGTCTCCTCTCTGATTGGGTCTATGCATCCCTATTGGAACTCATCACCTCTGCCTTATACTTTAGTTATTTATGTGCATCTCTATTTCCCCAGCATATCTGATGGCAGGCCTTGAGGTCAGGGGTTCAGATTTATCTTTGTATATAGGTTCTGACATGGGGAGCTGGTGCATATCAGGTGCTTCATCAAGAGGTGTTGAGTAAAGGTCATTTTTTAAAAATGCAAAAATAAGTCTTTTCTGATTTCACTCTTGGACAACTAACCTAAGAAGTAGCATAACATAATAATCAGAGTAAGAACAGAGATAATAGATATTCTTCTGTATTCTGTCTCCATCAACGTTCACACCTCATTCTGTGTCATGTCACATCCCTTGTCTCTCTCACAGGGATGATTCTGGCCAGATGTTGTCTCTGATACAAATTTTCTTCAGGTTATGAGAAATCCAGTCAAATCCATGTTAACGTAGTCTTTTGTTAAAGGAATGCTCATGTGTTGGCAGTGATCCCCGTTGTACCACAGAGTCTGTCAAGTTTTAACATTTGTGTCTCTAAACACCAGCTGAAGGTCCCGTTTCTGTTTGCTCCCTGTACGTTTCTGGTTCGGGGAACAGAACCATGAGTCTGCTGATAAAAGAGCGGGCCTGCCCCATCCTGCTGCAGTTGTGCGGATGTGAGAAGGCAGGTCCTTACATGACCGGTCCAACAGTGGCCCTACCATTGTAGAGCCTTGGAAAAGTAAAAAGGAGATTGTTGTTCTTTCACAAACTTCCTATAACCTTTACCCAGTGTACGCATCAGAGTGAGCAGGTTGCTTTTCATCCCAGTTAGGACAGTGACGAGGAGCAAGGCTCAAACAGAAATAAGAAATATTTAGATTGGGGAGGAGGGTGGATGCGGAATCTGGCTGGTTAAACGCAGGAATGCTGCTCATGTGGGGATAAAAAGGAGGCTCATAATTAGATGAGTGTATCTACGCTGCTGAGACATGAGAATATATGAGCTCTGAATGAGGGAGAGGGCTTCTCAGAAGATGAAGAGAAGACTAAAAGATCGACACCTTTTAAAGAGTTGCACATCTTTAAGGAGGAAACTGAGAATGCAGAGGTCTTTGGTGACAAGCCTATATGTGGCCCCCCCTAATCCACAAAGGAGGATGCAGAGACCAGGGCTTTTGGATGCAATTCCAGTGCTGCTTCCAGAACCCGATGGAAGGGGGTCATAGTAGCTAGTGGGAGGGGTTTCCATTGTACAAAGACGGAGTTAACACAAACAGACGCATCCTGAGGATGGTCTCCTCTACTGACGTCATTGAAAACTCATTTGTGCACACAGATCCTCCAACCAGGTCAGAGTAAATCCCTCCATGTACCATATCTGGTGGCCTAGCCCTACTTGTAAAAATAGAGCCCCCGGTAGAAGGGCAGAAACGCTATCATCTCTGCAGATACTTGGACACTGCCTTTTGACAGTTTCTCCTTGCTGTTCTGAGATATATATATATATATATATATATATATATATATATATATATATATATATATATATATATATATTAAATACAATAGAAGGAGCACCTGGGTGGCTCAGTGGTTGAGCGTGATCCTGGGGTCCTGGGATCAAGTCCCATATCAGGCTTCTTGCAGAGAGACTGCTTCTTCCCCTGCCTGTGTCTCTGCCTCTATCTCTGTGTCTCTCATGAATAAATAAATAAGATCTTAAAAAAAGAAAAAAAAAAGAATAGGGCAGCCCGGGTGGCTCAGCGGTTTAGTGCCACCTTCAGCCCAGGGTGTGATCCTGGAGACCCGGGATTGAGTCCCACATTGGGCTCCCTGCGTGGAGTCTGCTTCTCCCTCTGCCTGTGTCTCTACCCTCCCCCCAACCCTGGCTCTGTATCTCTCATAAATAAATAAAATATTTAAAATAAATAAATAAATAAAAATATTTTAAAAAATAAATAGAATAGACACATAAACAAATTACAACCTAGACTGACAACAAGCCCAAGCAAAGAGTAGATAGGGAACAAGAGAAAAGTCATCCCTAGTGTGAAATAAAAGTAAAACACCAGCACATTGTTCATCTATCAGTGTCTTCCATGTGCCAGGCACTGTTCTGGGCATGGATGACTCAGCACAGGGAGCAAACAGACAAATGCCCCTTACTTCCAGGAGCTTCTATTCTAGAGGGAGACGCAGGCGGTCCCTGCCCTTTACTGTTTTTGAGATCCATCGCCACCCACCCTGCTGGGCTTTGGTGGAAATTTAACTACGTTGGAAAATTGATAATATCTCCATTCACGTATGGGTGTGATTCTAATGAAGGTTGCTTTCTGGTTGACAGGGAGAAGAAAATGGCTTTCCAGACAGTACTGGAGATCCCCTTTCAGGTAAAGGACTGATTCGATAGATGTCTGGGTTTCTCTGATAACTGGCACAGCTAAACTAAAGATAATTTGCAAATCTGTTTGTCATTAATTTTAAAAATCTGTATTACGGACAAGAGAAACTTTCCAACCACAGGCCGCAGGGAACTGCAAGGAAATGTTAACCAGATTTCACAAAAGGTATCAGAGTCTTTTCTCCATGCTAACCTGACTTGGCTCATGAGGGTCACAGCTGGGTTCTTGATAGGAAAAGTTTAGGATGGGGCACCAGTCAGAACAGAGCAAACCCTCCTCCTTCAGAGTTAGCATGGATGGAAAACTGCCAGGTAGAAGAAGGCAAGGGGGCTGAGGCCAGCCAGGGTAGCCAGCCATTGCCTCCATTCCCTGCCCTGTGCCCTGGCGCCCCATGCTGTGAGCCCCTTTCTGCTGTTGGTGTATTTAACCAGAGCAACATGAAGATGTTTCTCCTCCACCACTTGTTACTTTAAGTTGGAAATTTTGGCAATCTTCAGATTTTATATTAGTTGATCACAGAGAACATCTGGAGTGAGCATTAACATAGGCTACCAAAAGAATGATTAAAATACAGAAAAACCTCATTAATGTTTTCTATACCTTTTAAAACACCTATTGAAGGGCTGAGTCATCAGGGTTTTGTTTCTTTCTTTTTTAGGGGGAGGGTGGTGGACCCTAAAACCCCCAGGGTAATCCGTCACCACCAAATCTACTTGGACTGTGCACACATGACCATGCTGAAAATCAGAACTTGGGATGTATTCTCAACTTTTTTTTTCCCCTTAGAAACATGATGTTATCAGTGCCCAGGGGGCCCAGTCTGTTAAGCATCTGCCTCTTTTTTTTTTTTTAAGATTTTATTTTTATTCATGAGAGACAGAGAGAGAGGCAGAGATGCAGGCAGGGGGAGAAGCAGGCTCCCTTTGGGGAGCCCAATGCAGGACTTGATCCCAGGATGCTGGGATCATGGCCTGAGCCAAAGGCAGATGTTCAACCTCTGAGCCACCCAGGTGCCCAAGCATTTGCCCCTTGATCTCAGCTCAGGTCTTAATCTCAAGGTCGTGAGTTCAAGCTCTACCTTGGGCTCCACTTAAGAGAGAAAGAGGAAGGACGGAAGGAAGGAAGGAAGGAAGGAAGGAAGGAAGGAAGGACGGAAGGAAGGAAGGAAAGGAAAGGAAAGGAAAGGGAAGGGGAAAGGGAAAGGGAAGGGGAGGGGAGGGGAGGGGAAAGGAGGGGAGGGGAAGAAAGGGAAGGGAAAAGAAGGAAGGAAGGAAGGAAGGAAGGAAGGAAGGAAGGAAGGAAGGAAGGAAGGAAGGAAACATGATGTTAGTAACAGTTATCTCTGGGTGGTGAGACTCTAGGTGATTTTTTTTTCATTCAGTGGATTTTTATTTATTAAGGACCTACTGTGTGCCAGGTTCCCTAAGGAGGCCACGTGGCAAAAGTACAGCTCTGGGAGACAAGTTGGTATCCTGGTTCTAGTTCAGGCACTACCCTGATGAGAGAAGTCAAAGGGGAAACTGAGCCACATGAACTTGCAGTGGAGCCTTCCCACCGGGTTTCACGGGACAGGGCCAATGTCAGGGTCCCATATGGACACCCACTGGAACTAGCCTTCCCTGGACCCCACCCCACCCCTACCTGAGGCTAAGACCGCTGGCCAGCATTTATCCTCTCTCAGAAATGCCACAGCAGACACGCTCAGATTAGAAGCACCTTGCTGGGGACGCCTGGGTGGCTCAGTGGTTGAGGGTCTGCCTTCAGCTCAGGTTGTGTTCCCAGGGTCCTGGGATCCAGTCCCACATCGGGTTCCCTGCAGGGAGCCTGCTTCTCCCTCTAGCCGTGTCTCTGCCCCTCTCTATATCTCTTATGAATAAGTAAATAAAATCCTTAAAAAAAAAAACAAAAAAACCAAAACCCTCCCTGGGTAATATGAGGAAGAGAAAGCATCTTTGGCACACAAGCAGTCAATTTTTGTTTTCTTTCCACTCTTTTCTATTTTTAAAATTTCTAACATGAGTGGATATCAGAAAAATCTCTCTTCCCAAAACTTTAACCTGTATCTACAAATCCATATATAACAAATGATTAGATGTAGGCAAATAAATGTATACAATGTATGGTAAAATGACCAAGGACATCTGTAAAAGGCTGATTCACCTGGGTGCTAAGGGCATGAATTTTTTCCCCTATGCTCATCTGAATTTTCAGATTTTCTGCAATAAGCACATATTTCTTTTCTAATTAAAAAAAATATGTATTTAAACTTTGAAAGGACTAGCACCCTCCCCACTAATGTGGAATGTGAGCTAAAATGGACATGGATATGGTAAGTTATTTAGGAATATCTATAACCTTTATAAATTAAAGTTCTTTTTTTAAAATTTTTATTTATTTATGATAGTCACAGGGGGGGGGGGGCAGAGACATAGGCAGAGGGAGAAGCAGGCTCCATGCACCGGGAGCCCGATGTGGGATTCGATCCCGGTCTCCAGGATCGCGCCCTGAGCCAAAGGCAGGCGCCAAACCGCTGCGCCACCCAGGGATCCCATAAATTAAAGTTCTTATTGATAGATTAACTTTCATCAAATTTCACTTGTCTCTTAAAAAACTTTCCCTGTGTCAAAATGAAATGGAAAACTTTTGAAGAGAATAAACTCCTCACAGTGATAGCAAGTGATATTATTGAGAGCAGACGGTGCTATTGAAGTTGGTACCTTTGGCAGCTGGCATAGTACTCGCACACAAGAGTGAGTGTTCAGGTGTTTCGTTGGAGTTTTGGTTTTGGTTTTGTTTTTCCTAAACAGGTAGATGAGACACACTGACTTAATGGCTTTGCTCTTGGATAAATAGGCAAAAGCTGATCCACATATTTCAGTCTTTGAATGAGGGTAGCAACTTAAGATTTATTTTATCATTTTAGTTACAAACACTAATCTAGCACTTACTGTGTACCAGGCCCTGTTCTGAGCCCTTTAAAAAGCCGCTTAGAAAAAGTGCACATGACAACTCAGAACTTACTTTCCTCACCAGGTGGATGTTACAGAAGCAATGCTGGGTCCCGTGGCTGGTGCTGGGTCACAGGAATCCTAAGTGGGACTCAAGCCCAGGGCCTGGCCAGGAGCTCAGTCCCAACCACTGCACCAGGCTGCCTCTCTACTGGTCAGACGCAGTGGCCAGGTAGTAACCACATTGAATGTTGGAGTCATACAGTGGGGTGCGGGTCAGCTATCTCAGATACGGCCCGAATCTGGAAGGAAGCCAAAGCCCAAGCTCCCACCACCACCCCTATCCCTGGCCCCATCTCCAAAGTCAGTCTCTGAACACTGCAATACCTTTCACAAAAGGTTTGCTACTTTCCCTAGATCAGGCCCCAGGCCTTAACTCAGAGCCTGGATTTTATTTAATTCTTGTCTTTGAAAACCTGAGTTGTCTGCAATCTGGCTTCTAGCTGGTTAGAATAAGCGCTGTCGGGAGCATGGAAGGCACTGCTATAGAAGGACGGAGGAGACAGACTGAGAAATGACAGCTGACGGTTTGAAATCAGGCAAAGGAAACAAATGCAAATCAGAATCAGCTACCACTAGAAAAGCAAAGCCTCCTTCGTGGAGCTAGTGAGTGCAGAAGCAAACAACTGGGGGAGGGGGTGCAGAGCACAAGAAGGAGGACACCCACTGTGATGCCCTGGATTAATACAACAACGCAAATCACGTTCAGTTTACTCGGCTAAAGGAGCCATTAGAGTTTTACAGCGTTTTCATGTAGGTTTTCAAAATGAAAGCAGTCCGGCATGAAAGGAGTAAGACTCAGTTTTTAGAAAGTATCCCCCAAATTGAAAATATAAACCTCTCCTTGTCCCCCATCTGGTGGCAGTAGATATCACACAGACCACACTTCCTGCACTTGGTCTGGACACTAGGCCAGTTTTTCAAGGATGACTTTCCGACAACCTCACATAATTCAGCACTTGCCCAACCCATACCGAATTTCCCCACAGAAATGAATGTAAACTAGGATTGTTATTTTTTTCAAATTAGGTCCATTAAATGATGCTTTGTTAATATGTCTTTTTCACATAAGTTCTGAAGCCAAATTCCCATGGAATTCTATGCTTTATTTTTACCTGGGTCCTTTCTTACCTAAGTTTGTTTTTCTCTTAAAATGCCCTCTATGCTCCAGTTTTGTTTGATGACAAAATTGAGGTGCAGCATGATTTACTATCCCAGATCCTTCCAATTTATCAGTTAGACTCCCCAGTGCTTGATGTCTCCTTTAAAGGGTATTTGAGAGAGAGAGAATGAAATGGGATTGTTTTTCCCTTTGGTTAAGAGATCAAACGCCCACCAAAAGCCTTTGGGTTAGTTTCTTGGGAGATAAAAATAGTTCATCATTTTCCAGCTCAGAGCATATAAACTACCTCCGATGAATAATGTGATGTGTGCATGCACCCCAGTGATTTATCAAAGCCATAAACTGACATTTTAAATATATTTATTTCCAACCACATTGGAAACCACACATAGAAAAAAAGCACAAATTTACAACCTTAACACACATTACTGCAGAAGTATTCAGCTCTACTCTGATACTTTGTTGGCATTTTGCAAGCTCCAAATCTGATAATTTGTAGACACCTGGGATAGAGGTGTTTTATTTCAGGACCACAGTATTTTGCTAGTTGCAAAGTTGCCAATGGAAAGATGTTTACTATTTAATTGTTTGAATTAACTATGTATCCTGGGGAACGTTATAATAAATGATCTAGAAGCTCCCAGTGGTCCTGAGCACACTGGAGGGAAACACCCATGTAGAAATAGCTCTCGAAAAGCCAGGGTGTACAAGATAAAACAGCACCTACCCTGCAGGGAGACACATTAAGGCAGTCTGTGATCCACTGCCAACATCCTGACTGGAGCCAATTTCTAGGCTCAACTAATCATGACCTCTGTGAATCCTGAATCTTGTTCCAATTCACAATTAACTCTTAA